TGATATTCAGCCTGCCTCTGCTTCACGGGCGGAAGAGTCAGCTTTGTGGCCAGGCTGGAGTCTTCCCAGGAATCTCTGTACCTCACACTATTTCTAAAGCACAGATGAAGAGATGGGGGTCAAGCCCAGTGACTGGACTAAAGCCACAGAGAATCTTGATTGGCCTCCTCTGCCAGCTCTCAGTTTGCAAAGCATGTGCACTTTCCACTACACTGTCTAAAACTAACTGCCTTTGACTTAACTCTCAAGTAACAGCTCATTTAAAAAATTGATTGCAGCCCGCAGAGAGACAAGGGAACAAACCACAGAGGAGTACCTGCTCTCACATCTGTAGTGGTCTGTGGTGATGGCAAACTTAATGATCACTGAAATGTTGCACAGGATCAATATTTCCCCAAATCTGTTGGTATCTGTAGGATGTGTATATTGACCCAGTGGGGAAAAAGATCCATTTTAAAATAAATTTGGGAAACTCTGGCTTACATAATTTTGAACAAGGCTAGTTTCCATAGGACTTCTCAGAACTTTTAATATGCTCTCACGTGCTGTGAAAATCTAAAAGGCTAATGTGGCGAGCAGTGTTCCCAGAGGTATTTGACTATGGAGCACTCCCACCCCCAAATACATGTATCTTCATGCTGCACTTTGGGAGCAGCCTTTGAAAAATCATTTGGGAAAACATTGGCCTAAACATATACTGAAATTCCAGCAAGATGAACAGTTTTTCTGTATTTCTTCTTATTCAGAGGGGCTTGCAAGTATTTCCTTACAACAGGTGAGAACTCAATACTTATTGTATTGAGAGAGAAAATAGTTTTCCACGCTCTGGTCATTCTATGCTTTACCAAAGCAGTTATACCTAAGTGAAAACTTGAAACAAATAAAATTGAAGTCACAGTGTTTTCATCAAAGGAAATTAGCTACAGTGAATACTGCATGCATCACGGGGAGCGATGGTGATCAGGAAGCTGTGAAGACACCTGTCAAACCACGTGCCTGCAGAGAGATTTCTTACATTTTCGGCCTCCTTGGGAACCTTGGCTCTGCTTTAAGCATGGATTTGTTCCCACATGGACTGTTCCATCGGAGTTCCTGGTCAAAGCCCTAGCTCGACCATGCTCTCTGCAAAAGCTGAGCTCCCTGATCCAAGAGCAAAGTGAAAGGGGCCACAGGGCCGGAGGTGCCCAGGTGACATTATGACCATTGCCCAGCTTCTGCCTCCAAGGTCTTCAGTCAGCTTTTGGTAGCAGGAATGAAGTTCCTTCTTTGCGTCCCCAGTCTGCCCACAGTCATGCACTGTTTTGGCTCTGAGACTCCTGAAACTTGTCCTGGGCCAGCAGCCCATTTCCTGTTTTTAATCAGGACCATTCTTCCCAAAAGACTTAGCTCCTCTTTACACTTTGACACCATCCACTTTCAATACCAAGTTTATTTAATCGATCCTCCGCCAGAACCACCTCTTATTTTTTGCTTGTTTCGCCCACTTCCACAATTCACTGATTGCTTTTTTTCATCGCCTTTCATTTAAAATATCGATATTTATTAACTACCCCTGCCTTTGGCCATCATCTAATGCAAGCTGTCCTTCTCATCTGATAGTCTTCTGCATTTTCCAATTCCTTCTGATACATTTGGGGAATTTTTTCTATCTAGCTCAAACACCCCAGTGTCTGAAGGCCTACTGCAAATGTGGCATGGGTGAGGATTTTAGTGCACAAAACATGTCTGTGTTAAGTTGATTATAAACAAAGCAGGGTAGTGGGAACATTGAGAGTCCAACCAATGAGACAGCCTATCAGGGAATGAAGAGCTTGTTAGCGGTGACTCTGTAACCAATCTTTTGGTGCCTCCTTTTCCTCCCCCAAAACTGAGGAAAATAATATTATCTATTTCATTTGATTATTATAAGGGTTAATTGAATTACATGTCTAAAAGGCTTATAAAAGCCCCTAGAGAAAAGTAAATAACATATATTCATTAGCTATTATTATTTCCACATTAGAAATAATGAAAGCCTCTTAGAATAAGGTGTGGAAATTTTTTTAAAGGCCCAGATTATATAAAGGATCACCTACCTGAAGTTCATCAGCACACTTCCTGCATAGGAGAAAAGCGCCCGGCATTACAGAAAACTGGAGATCTCAGATATTTATGGAGGCCTGCCTCAAACAGAAGCTTACCAGCAAAATACAAACATGAGTATGTTGGTGGAATTGGTTGGGGAATACCAGAGATGACTTTATCAACAAAACAAGGCTTGGAACTGGCTTTTACATCAAGGTATTGCTCTTAAATTTACGCTCTTCATAGCATACTGTTTTTTGATTTAAATTCTTTCTGAGCTGGCTTCCATAGAAAATGTCATGTTCTTAATCTGTCATTGGAAAGAAAGAGGTTTGAATTTTGCAGAAGAATAAATGTGTGAATAAATGGGCTTGCCACCATCATTCCCACGTCATCCTCTGACTGCCTGAGAGGAGAGGTGTGAAGATTGTGAAGCCCCGGGTAATCCAGCAACATCGCTGCTTGGCTTTGGGATGTGTTCGGATCCACAATGGTGCTGTGACATTCACACATGCTTCCCGCATCCCAGCGCTGCTGTGTGAGTGGGTGGTGTGAAAGAAGCTGCCTGTGCTGGACACCATCCATAAACCTAAGAAAATGAGTCCTAGATCTTTAAAAATCCACTGTGTGGATAATGCCTTTGAATCAGGTAACCCAGGGTACGTAGTCGGGTTTTTAGAAACCTTGTCTTTTTTCCTTTTGGTGATGCGGTTGTAGACATGAGCCTTCACAGTCTCCTCTGAAACAAAAGAGAGTTCATGGGATTTTAGAAGTAAAATCTGAGAATTCAGACCTTTTTCTTCTTTTTTTTCCAGGCAGGCATTGGCATTATATGAAAATTGAACATGCATCAATGATGCAATAACTGGATTTCCTCAAGCTCTTAAGGCAATATAATACAACCTCATCCAGCATGGGTTGCAAAAGGAAAGACCTTTTTCTGGCCCAGCCTACAGCAGTACAGGAAAGTGGCTGGAGCTGTCTTTGAAGTCAGAGAGACCCGGGTTCAAATCTTGACTCCGAGTTAGGTCTAACTCTGGGACCGGGACTTGAGGTGCCTCTCTGTGTCTCTGCTCCCCCTGCCTCATGATGGTGTTTCAAGAGCCCACTTCATAAGGTTACCCGAATTGCTGTTCTAGTTCTGCCTATTCCCTAGCTGTGGCCTAGGCCAAGTTCCTTAACCATGTGCTTCAGTTTCTTCATTATGAATCTTGGTATTTACCTCATTGGTCTGCTGTAAACATTAAGCAAGTTAATATTTGTAAAGTGCTAGAAACAGTGCCTGGCACATATCAAGCACTCTCTGTGTTCAATATTATTATTGTTGGTGAGGAATAAATACGAGAGCATGAGGAACACACAGAGCGCACTGCCTGCTCCGGGGCCAGCATCCAGGGTCCAGCGTCAATGCAACGTGGTTGTATTTAATGCCCTCAGCATTAGTTTAACAAAAAAAGTGCTCCAGTTCTTCAACAGTGTGCTATTTAGGCCTTCGTAACAATGAAGATCAGAAATGTGATTAAATGTCAAAACTGGCCACCAACAGGAAGAGAACAGCCCCAAAGTGAGGCAGGTGGTCTGAACAGAGTCCAGAACTTTCGTTCCCTGGTTACTGCTCTTTGGGGATCGCCCTACTTTTGTGCCTGGCCCGCAATCTGTCTGCCCATCTTGAGCATGTGCAGTTTCTCTTTCTCCATCTACTTTAACTTAAAAACACATTTGTCTGTTCAAATCATATGCACTGAAGCATTCTGTTGTCTATGAGGCATGCTGTGAATCCGAATGAGACGTCAGCCACGAGGTAGCCTTCCAGGAAGCTGTTTATTCTGTCTTTTTCTCCTCACATTTCACAGGCAGCTTTAAATCACGGCTCTGATCAGTTGCACTGGCTTCCTGACTCCCGTGGGACCTAGGGGAGGGAGGCAAGGATTCCTACCCACCTGCGGCTCACTCAGAAGCTCGTCTTGTCTGGTACAGGCTGTGAGGGCCCGTTGCCCATCACCCGGTGTACTTTCTTGGCTCTGGCATTTTGACAGTCATTGTGTCAAGCGTTTACCTGTCTCAGATAATCTTTAAAAATATCCTGAAGGATTCCTTGGACTGGAACTTGACAATGAGAACAAATGATTCCCTGAGAATGGCTACACATATCAGCAAAGAGCCATATACAATTTACCCTCCGGATGAGGCCAGAGCCTTGTCAGCACCCGCTGCCTATCCGCGCCCAGTGCCCAGCTCCCCCGCCGCCTCCGAGGCACACGGCAGTAGGAGCTTGTGAGTCCAGCCTCACACGGGGCGAAGTTCTTCATCCTGCCCCCGCTCCAGGCAGCTCCTTCTCCTCAGTAAGGCTTGCCATGAGTTGACATTTGAGCTGATGCACGCACACACACTCCACGCATAAAGAACAGCTCTAGTTACCAACAGTATGAGCACCTATAGCATTAACTCACATCCCCCTCAGCAGCGAACTGGTGAATTCCTGGGCCGGGTAAACGTGGAAATGTCTCACCCTGCCTCCTGCTGGGTCTGGTGCCCTCTCTTCAGCCGCCTCTGCCACCCGGCTCTGCTGCCCAGGGCCATAGTTGGCCCTATCAGGATGGAACTTTGTCTCAGCCTAACTTCAGAGATTCCTCAGTGGGTCTTGCTGCAATTCCTCAGAATATTGATTTTAAGCACAAACCTTCATCTAGTGGATTTTATAGCCTGAACAGTTGTTCTTTCTAATTACTGCTCCAGGTTTGCAGAAGACTGGCAGTTAAACAAGCTTAGACACCCCAGCAGATTCTTGGTAAAAGGCCCAGGGCCACTGCTTCCTGCCGTTTAGGGCACTAAGTGAGGTTCTATACATCATCTGGATTTCGTAGATAGATAATAACTTCCAGGCTGACTTCCAGGCTGAAGGACACCTGAAAATTTTCCCTACATCACAGAGGTCAGTAAAAACCACAGTATCTGGTTTCTCTTCTGGATTTTCTGTGTTTAGCTATTTCCTACTGGCTCTCATGTGGGCTGGAGTGCCGTAATAATAGTACATGTGCATTTGAACCAGTAAAGATCACTGCTTTTGTTCTTATCTCAGATTTAAGAGCAGTACATTCTTTTTTTTTCTTTTTCTTTTATGGATTGGGTCTCTGCCAAACCTTCTGTGTTGTTTCTGCAAGAATACATGGAGACGATTAAAACAATCCCTTTGGTCTCACCCCCATGCTAAGCAGAGGAGCATTTCTCACTGCTTCACAGCTGGGCGTGTGTCCTGCCTCCTGGCCTTTCTGTAACTTAAACCTCCACCGTGTCGCTGGCTCCCTGATGCCCACTGTCCACTCCTGCACTCTGGCCTCAGGACCTTGGTTTTCCTGCAGAAACACTGGTCTCATAATGACTAATTCTTTATAGGTGTGATCTCAAATATTAAATCAATTAATCATAACATATACTACAACCCATATGTCATATAGTTCAACCTTGAAAAATCTATAGCAGATAATAAGAACTATGAGAACCCATCAATACATTTATATGTGATGCAGTATAATATAATAAAAAGTCAAGTCTTCCAGGGCTTTGAAACTTCTGCCTCATTTTTAAATGCCACAAATTCCAGCATTATAAAATACTGGTTTCTTTGTGACAGTTTTAGGGACAGGTCAACAGACTTCTGAGGAGACACTGAGTTTCTCGATGGCTGTTTTATAAGCTGATCTAAGGTTGTTTGCTACATTAGACATTTTTCTCTCTGTAAATAAATTTAGAGAAAGTAAACCTAGAAAGAGCTTCCATTGACAGAGTCTTTACTATGTGGGAAGGTACTCAGATTACTTCCATTTTACAGATGAGGACACCGAGGAATTGACAGATGAGGTTCCTTGGGTGAGGCTGCACAGCGAGTAAACAGTGCAGCCAGGATTTTAACCCAGGCCATGAATTCAAGTGCAGTGTATATGAGATAAAATGACAGAAAGTGAAGTCAGAGCATCAGAATGGAGCCGCTGTGCACATCTGAGCATCTTCCCTGTAAGGCAGAGGCTGGCTGCGGTCACTTCCAGCAGGCTTCCCTTGGAAGTCCTGCATCCTCTCTACTTGGCTCTCTGTTTCCTCCCAGCATCCCATTCTGCATCATTTGCTCACAATGGACTTCACCTATTATTTTAAAATGAGCTCTTCATAGATGTCACCCACATGTTTACTATAAGAAATAGCTTAACAATAAATTTCTATTTAACAGGCTCTCTACAATGCTTCAAAACTTATCATCAGATACCATAATATTTGGCATTATGGGAAAAAGAGAAAACAGTGAGGTTTCCCCACCCACACTTTCTTTCCTTGTCCTAACCTCTTGTGTTCTTCCAAACTGTCACCTTCACACAACAGTGTCCTGGAAAAATTTCAAATTCACCTGGAAAGAAGAAAGAAGTCTTGATAATGTGGAGCTGATCAGTATGCAGACCACTAATCACCTACTTCAGAATTTCTGGCTGTTTTTCACCCCAAATTTCTCATTTACCTGTGGGTTCATTTGGACAAATCACAAACAGTCTCATTAAAATTCCTAAGATCTCACACTCCTAATCTCCAGATGTTATTATCAATACAGATTTTTTAAAGAGATAACAAAGCTTCCTTTTTCGACCAAGTTCTAAAAGCAAAATTTCTCTAAAATTAGGCACATTTAGGATTGCTACTGTTCTTTCCCAGATGGACATGTGTTTAGTTCTCACTTAATACTTCTTAGAGTTATTTGCATCCTAACAGTTTGTGCTTTAATATAAAAATAATTACATTAGCACCTTTCATCCCTAACTGCTATATAAAGTAATGCATTTTCTGATACCATGGGAAGCCTGTAGTGAAGGAGTGCTACATGCTGACCATTTGTGAGGGAGGAGAAACATTGGCTGAGGAGGTCAAATAACATCCTTTTCTCGAAAATAATATTAACAACATTAAGTTCCTTATACACAGATGTATTTCCCCTAATTTACAAAACTTAGCTTTATAGGATCTTTCAAATAAACTGAAGGAACTTATTTCCTTATAAAACCTTACCTGTAGCTGAACTTCCAAAAATTAAATTTACGTTTAATACTTCCTTTCTCTAACAGGCTGTGAAAGCAACAAGGGAGGTGTGTGTCACTGATTGGTACACTTGGCGCTGTGTTCAAATCAGTTCCATGAAGAATAATGTGTTGGGGACGGGACGTGTCTCTTATCAGTAG